ATATGTCTTTTTTTTTTTTTTTTTTTTTTTTTTTTTTTTTTTTTTTTAATATAAGAACAAGATGTGATGTGTCTTTCTTGAATGGTAATGTAAAGACCTGAATCACCTGCCCTGACTGAAAGGTCTCCCCTCTACATGTTGACCAGCAGGCCTGGATGACCAGAGTGGATAAAGAAAATACCGCATCTTATAAAGTGACTTTACATCTGGTTCTCCCTGCAGTGCAGCCAAGGCACTTTGCAACAGGAGGTTTCTCTGCTTTTTGCCAGGCAACAGTAACAGTGAAACCCATTGTTTCCAGATGTGACTTGTCATGATATGGTCCAGTTTTGTAATCATCATTACCCTCATCTTCTATTGATCAAGCTGGAGCTATACACCGTGACAGCTCTCCAATTTGTAACAGTATTGGTGGCCTCCTGAACCTGACCACCCATTTGCTGACATGACATTTTTGCCACATTTTACGCTCTTGAACTTTCTAGTTTCTAGTGAACACTAGTATTTTTTGTAAGGTATTTGAAATACCTTACAAATACAAATTAACCTTTGATATTAAATACAGGTTTTTAACTTCTTAATGTTTTTGTAATTATTACTTATGGGCCTTTCAGGTTTTCCTGTGTTGTATCTGTAAGCCATACAGTACATTTAAGTTTCGTTTGAACATCTGCATTTGATTTTTACTTACATTTCCTGCTTCTTCTTCTAACAACTCTTTTTAAAATTGTTCTTCCTTTGCTCAGTCTCACAGTGACATGCCCAAGCTCCCACATGCATTAAACTGCATCGTTTGTCCCCAGCTAGAAGTTTCCGTCAGCTGCTTCTCTGTGGAGGTCAATGGCCCTCACAGCACTGCAATTCAATTGCATGCCCTGGATCCAGCTGGTCCATCCATCAGCTGGATGCTGGATGTCATGTCTACTGTGAAATACCATAAAGCTAAATGCTTCTTTGAAGTGAGATTTGTGGAAAACCCAAATTCAGTGAGAAGTATGCTCAGTGTCACAAATTTTGCTGGCTGTCCAAATTCAAATAAGTTTAACATAAAGATCTCTGCAGAAACTTAACAGTGGACACCTAGTAACAGTGAACAGTCAGCTACATAAATATTATTATTGAACTAATCCATTGGGGGATTACATTTTCCTTGGAATCTGATAAACTGAGGAAACTGGAGTCTTTTCCACCTAAAAACTGTTGTAGCATATCTTCATATTCCTGTATCCTTCACAGAAATCAGTACTTCTTAGTTTCAAAGTTTGTTGCTATTGGATGACAGGCTGAAAAAAGAGTTTAATGAAAATCATGTTGTAATAGCCTAAAGTTTGGAAATCCAAATGGGAAATTTCATTATCAGTATTTTTTTCAGCTGCAGTGTCAGACTAGACACAGTACTATGAAAGTGTTAGATTGCTCCCTGAACTAATAAAAAGAGGAACCTCTATAAATGCAGAACATGTATCAGAACCCGCCAACCAGCTGTGCTTCTTCTTTTGCACCAAGGCCAGAGGACCTTTTGCATAGTTACTTCCTAATATTTTCCCTGAAGAACTGTCTTCAAAAGCAACACCACAGTTTTAATGTTTGCTTGACAATTTTGAATGGAGAGGTCTCACTGTGTGTTTTGACTGTTGCAACCATTTAGAGGTGGTTGCCAAAAGATGTTTATAAGAAGTGCATTTTGCATATGAATGGTGCTCTATAATCAATAACATATACATTTGTATGCATTAGGTTATCTTCCTGACTAAAACTGTAACTAGATCCTTGCATTTTGTGGCCAAACTAGGTCTGGGGTAACTTGACCTGCTTAGTGAAAAAGCTCTGGAGAATCTTAACTGTTTTGTCTCCAGTGAGCATCATAGTCGGATGTTCCACAACATTGTGTGGAACATGGCTGTCAAATATCTCTGTTGTGTTGATCATGCATGAAAGACTGAAATCTTTTGCATCAGCGGGAACAGTCTCTTCAAGATGTTCATGACATAGTGCTTTCTTTTTCTGGCATAGATGTAGCCTCTACTCACCAGGTGAGTCCCTTGAACAAGAAGAGAGAAACGAATGCCTTATAATTTCCTGGCTTGATGTGCTGTTTAAGTACACCTATTTTTCTGATCAGCAGTAATCAAAGTGCTGTAACAGATAGTAGTTCCTCTTCTCTATGTTTAATGAATATTTTCAGAACTAATCTTCTCTGCATTTCTGATACGACCTGACAACTTCAGTATATTAAATCATTAAGTTTCTCTTTATAATATGTAGCAAAGCAGCATAGGAGGGAACAACAATCATTTCCATTTTTAGTACAGAAGCTCAAAATTGTCTGGCAAGCTCTGGCGAGTCCTTGGATAATCCATGGAAGAAAAAGTAGAAGAATTAATCTAATTTACGCTACAGTCTTAGAAGCACCTAAATCTTTCAAGTATACTTGTTTTTGCTTTGATTACATTTGGAAAAAAAATGTAATCCAATTTTATATTGCTGTTGTATATAATTGCTTGTTCTTTGACTAAACATTCTTTCCCGTCCAAAAATCCCCATGTGATTTGAAAACACTGCCCACATCACTACTATATATGAATGTGTTGCTACTGGCAGAGAAATGACTATGAGTTTTTCTGAAAAGTTTTTATCAATTATCATTTGCCTATGAAAGTATATAATCTAATTAATTACATTATCCTAGCAATACCATAACTGTGGTCGTTAGCAGGAGGGCAGAAGAAGAGAAAGGCATTATTTTTCTTTTTCTTCTGAATCTCTTTAATGTAAGCTTACACAGAATTCCCAGGACAGATCACATTCGACACAGGAAAAAAATATTCTTGCTAACCTGCATAAAGTCTGTTCTGTATTCAGATGGAATAAGTCAGCATAATGAAAGGCAATGCTGGGCTCCTCCTGAGTCTCTGACAAAGGCACAAATATTGGCTTTTTATTCTTTGCCACTCTTCTATTCAAATAGAATAAAATATCAGCCATGCATTTTTTCTTTACTGTGTCTGAATGAGCTCTCTTGGCATTTCAGGCTTGGTGCATGGTGGGCTGGATACTTGAGTTTTAATTTTCTTGTTCAGCTTAATAATGTAACTTTTCATGGTCCCCCCTCCTCCTGGAGACCTCTTAACAGTCTTTGCAAGATCTTTGTACTTTATGTTTCAATATTTGTTCTGCAAATAGTTTATATGTAGAATAACCCAGAAACCCTCAAAAGCACTGGCAGCAAGTGCCAGTGGGCCAATAGGCCACAGAAGCAATAGCTATGCTGTGGGGAAGGGTAATTCTGAAGAAACAAGGTTATCTATTTCTGTTTGAAACAGCTCTAAGAGCCTGGGGCAGGTTTCTTTCTCTGAAACCTCAGGCAGCTGAACTCAGCTCTCAGCCTGGAGGAGGCCCCAGGGGCCAGCCTTGGTGAATAGTCGGTAATCTAAGGGTGTTGCTTTTCACTAGCTGCAACATGATGAATTTTGTCTTCAGTGGAGTTAGAAAATATTTTATTGAAGCATTTCCACCTCCCTCCTACACGTGACAAGTGTTCTTGGAGAACTGCATCTTGGTGGTTACACCACGGTAGGTATTAGGAGGTCATCTGTTGATTGGTGGCTCAGAGGGAAATTATCTTTCTCCTCCACCTGGATGATTTGCTAAGACTTGCTCACAAAAAGCTGCTTTGTTTTCAACTCCAAACATTTTTCACCACTTGTTTGGTCCATGCTGCAGCAGTGGCTTCCAGGGGAGGGGGATGATGGTGAGGACCAAAGGTGAGCAAGACATACCTGCACACAGCATAAGGAAGATACAGGAGATGAAGGATATAGAAATGAGAAGGTGGGCATACACTTAAAGGAAATGGCAGCAGGTGGAGAGCATGGGAATAGGAAGTGCAATATAGAAGTGGTAGAGGTAAGGGAGTGTTAGGATATTTTAAAGTCAAAGCCTATGCACTCAGAGCCGTATGCAGTCTGCAGGGTGTGTGCCACAGATCTAAAGGGCAAGGCAAGGCAGTGAAAAATTTCAGGCTTAAGATCTGCTGTCTCATGCTGAGGAGTGCAGGAGACTTGCCTTCATGCAGGGTATTTGGCTGCAGCTGTGAGTCCCTCTTCCTCACACAGATAAGATACTGCTGAGCTTCCTGGGCATCATGGACTCCCTGCTCACATGGAGGGAGCATTGCAGCAGCTATATGTATTTCTTTTTCCTTCAAGACCTGGATATACATGTATGTCAAGAGAAATGGATGCACCTGACAGTCAAAAACCCGTGCAGAGCCAAGCCTGGTGTAAACTGGTTTAGGATCTGGAAGCAGCAGGATAACATTCAGCGTGGGTTAAACACTACCCTTGCATTCACTCAAGGTCCAGGGCAGATTTTGCAAACTGTGCTAACTTTCATGTTGCCATGGCTACTGTGCTTGTGCTAGCTGGCTCAGACACACTCGAGGGTTTTTGTGTGAGTGGTGGGACTGTCTCTGACCACATTTAGGTGCATCTCGTGCACTGTCATCTGGACTGAGAATACTCTTCACGGACTGGATTTGTAAGCTTAGTCTTCCACTAGTCCAAAAGCTGCTCTGCTGAAGGAGGTTGTGCATTATTGAATCTACTTATGAATAAAACAATAAAGATGAAGCAGAGATTTCAGTGCTAATCTTAAAACTGTTCTCATTGATCTTAGGGAAATGTAGTACTCAAATTGTTGTTCGCACTACACAAAGCTGTGGCTAAACTTACTTGTGTCATATTTTCACATGAAAAATTTAGCTCTGAATAACTATTGCTTTTAGTTTGGTATTCACAGAAGACACCTCAAAACTGAATTTATTTCTAGCTCTTTGTCTGCTTTTGCAAGACTAAAGTCTGGTGAAGCCAACTATATTTTTGTCACAAGTGCATTCAGTGGTTCATGAGCTGTGTTCTCTTCCAATTTTGGCCTCAGCCAAGCTTCCCCCTCCTGATAAAGACTGAAAGTTTTCAGTCAGATTGCTGTAACATTATATATACAAACCAGCACAAAATAAGTAGGAAATGAACCTTAGGTTTTTGTGCAAGATCATCTACACAGAGACACTGGAATCTGGAAAACTCCCAGAAGAGAAGAGTGGCTGAAGATTTATATACTTTCTTGGAAGATGGATAACATGTTCTGCTTGGCCAGGAAGCTAGAACACTGTTACAAAGCCCAGAAGCCCTCTCTGAATGCTAGCAGTATCTTTCTGTTTGTGGAAAGAAAGCTTTTCTGTTCTGCCTCCTCTCTTCTGAGCTGTCTGTGAGTACATTTTTCTTCTTGGATATCTTTGTGTTGTAAAGGACAGTGGAGCAGTTTTCCTTTGCCCTTGTAGGTAAAGGCCAGGGTCACTGATGCACACTGTGCTCCAGCCTCACTTCTTATCCTCCATGCAGCACAGGACTAGCAGCATCAGCTGAGGATTTCACTAGGATAAGGGAATAATATGTAGTTACCAAGTACAGGAGTAAACCAGAGAGTAGAGAAGGAAGACTAAGCATTGGTCCCAGCTTTTCATAGCCGCTATCTGTTCTGCAATTTAAGACAAAGGATGAGTTCTCCTCTCTGTTTTGACGTAGTCATTTTTTACAGTGACTTTCACAATCAACTCTTTCCACGGTAAGGTTTCCAACATTGGAAAGCCAAAAAAGTCAAGTTAAATTATGTAGACTTACGACAACAAACCCAAGACTGAAAAGCTGTGCTGGTATGCAAGTACATGTAGCAATTCCTATATATACAGGGCTGAATTCAGAGCAGCTGATGTGACTCCTTGGAGACTGGTGAGCCTTGGGCAGCAGGGATGTAATATTCTGGGAGATTTATCAGACAGATTATATCACATTCACTCCATTTACACCTTGTTTTGGTTTCAATTCCATGAAGTGAAACTTCACCAGCCACGTTGGAAGCATATGAATGAGGTTAAAGAAATTGCATACATAAGAATAGGGTGAGGAAATCAAACCACTAAAAGGTTCCCAGTAAGTGGAAGATAAAGTGCTATGGCATGCAACAGGCAATTTTCTCAGCATGTACATGGATGGACAATAGTTATCCACTTGATCTCACCTTTATTTTCTTCTTCTTCAGTGTAATCGCACACATTTATTTATGCACCTGGTATTAGATTTTTTTTTGCCGTTATATCTGTATACACAGCATGTGTGTATTTAATCACAGATATATAACATACAGAAAGTTAAAGTTATCACTATATCAGAAAACTCTATGGAATCTTCTAGTGGGTCCAAACACACTGTTAAAGGCTTTAATTCTTGACCTATCAAATTACCTCACAGCTCTTTCCATCTTTCAGAAAACTAGAGGTCTTTCTTGTTTTGACTGTGGAGAAGAATGGGAAATGGAATAGCAGTTATCTAACCATTTGTTTTTTCCATCTTCTTAAGCCATTTATTTTTTATTCTTGATTGCTGTTGGTCAGGAAATTTTTTTTTCACATGACTTGGACAAAAACTCAGAAAAGGATACTTTTGATTTTTCTATTCCTTTTTCTATTCCTTTTTTTTTTTTTTTTTTTTTTTTTTTTTTTTTTTGCATTTGCTAGGTAAATATTTTTACACAGACATGGCTACGTAGGCATCCAAGCACCACTGACAACATTGTAGTCCAACCACTCCCATTTTGGAAAGAAGATAACAAGCAGAAAAGGGCAGCTTTGGCTCCCTTTTGAAATGCAGCTGCTGGCCTCCTAACTCTCATGTCTTACAGGGCCAGATCTTATGTTAGGGTCAAGAAAGAAGGAAAGAGTGAGTGTCCAAGTACAGTGAGTAGAGACAGTAGCTAGCTTTTCCCTTCTGCTGAATATAGACATGCTATGTGTCTACATGTGGGTATAAAGTGCTGCTTGAAGTTATACCCATTTCAAGGTCACAGATGGAAACCTTTGAAGTTGGCAGGGTGATCCTTCTCTCCTGACCATGTGTTTGAACAAAGGGTTTAACAGAGGGCCACTGTTCATCCATCAGCATGACATGGGGCCCCCATGCTGCTCTGCTCTACTACAGGGCATGGAAATGCTCAGTTCCTGGGTTAAACACAGATCCCGAGCTTGAGCAAGCCACAATTTTTAAGCCCTCCTCCAAGTTTCCAGGTGGGTAACAGCAGGGATATATCACCATATAAGTTGAAAGTCTTCAATAAGATCATGACACAGGAGTGGTAAGGCCTAAACTGGTGCTTAAATGAGGAAATGCTTCACAGATGGCTAAAAACTGGAGTGCTGGACTTTGGGCCAGAGTTTCAAGCTCTTGTTTCATTGCACCTACCCAGAACTGAAATAGAAAGAGCTAGAGGCAAAGAGGAAAAGCTAAAGTTCAAGATTCAGAGATTAGCAATGTGTAGCCTGCAGCTCAGCTCATAGGCAGTTGTGCTCTGAAGCATGGCCAAAGAATGTAGCTGAGAGAACTGAAGAAAAAGATCATTTTTGTTGGTAAAAGTTAGTCACGTAGTGACAAATAATTAGTTCTTTTTGTGTATGATTTAAAAGGAACACTCTTCTGAGATGTTATAAGAGGAGATGTCCAATAATGCAAAAGTTAGTAGCTAGAAGAACACAGAAAACAAAGTCAGACACAAGAAGAGGGAATATTTTTAAATATTCCACCTTCAAGGACAAATAATTACCCTTTGAAAACTTTTTAAAATAAAAGTTTGAAAAGTTAAATTTTCTGAAGTTTTTTTTTTTTTTTTTCTCCAACAATTTTGTGATTAAGTTCATTCATAGAATTACAGATAAAGTTTTAAATATACATCTCTCTGTAACAAGAATTCTGGTGCTATGAGAGCGTTAGCTTAGCTTGCAAACATATTCCATTTCCTTCATCACACTTGCATTATTTCCCATTTTTATGCTATTATTATGCTCCATAACTAGTTTCCTGTACTTTTCTTTTGCAGAACACTGAGATAGCAAAGGATGCCATAGATTCCTTGGACAGAAACTACAGGTAAAATTTATGTATTTATATTAATAAAAAAGATAGGACTTGAGTGATATATTTGCAGTTTTATGTACAACATAAATCATTTACTTCTCTGTTTGTGACAGTCTGCAGTTTAAGCAAATTATTTGCTGACACAAAATGTAACTGGAACTGTAGGTTCAGAAGCTTTGCTGTGCTCTTTTATCTGCTCCTTCTTCCTCCCGGTGAGTCTATATCTCCCCTGAAGAAATACTTTGAAACTCAAAGCTGGTATTTTTATGAGCTGCATGCTGGGTAATAATATGAAGACCATATTCTAATTGTGGAAAAATGGCTTCTCTTTAAAAACAAGTATTTTCATAGTTCTTCCATCAGCAGCTAGCTTTTATTTTAAGCCGTGTGCATAGAGTGATTTCCCAGCGACTGCTTCACACTCTTCCATCCCACAGCCTGATCTCCTTCCTCCCTAGTATCATGCTGTTTCCTACATGGGAAGCTTTTAGAAAGAGCTGCAAAAGGCACCTTTTAATTTATTCCTTTCTAGTAAACCAAATGATTAATTCCAAAGCCAGTAGCTAACTGGTTTGATTAGAGTTGTCCTGGCACAGGGGCAGTCTGCCTTCTGCGGAGCATCAATTATTTCACTGCATGTGATGTGATTTTGGCTCCTGCTGGAACCAGTCTTCATGTGACAGAGAAACTCTATTCTTCAGAGAGTGGGAAGGGACATCTCAGCATGACTTCCTCCTGCAGTTTCTTACCTTCTGGAGAAGGAAATTCAGTCAGGGCTGTTGCAAGAGGCATAGATGCCTCCCTTCCCTCCTTGCTCAGTGCTGATCTTACAGATAGGTGGGATGAGATGAAGGTCTTTGGAAAATGGGTATGTCTTTTTCTCTCCTTCCAATTGCAACTTTGAGCCTGGGAAAGAGCAGAAGCTAACTCTTCTGAGCATTACTGGAATACACTGGCATACAGTGGTCAGATCTGATATCTAGGGGTGAGATTACAGAATTATAAGACAGGATTTGCTCAAATCCAAAATGATTCACTCCCCAGAAATAAGTGGAGAGATGACTCAGAAGCTTGCATGCTCACTGGGAATTTATATCCCATGACCAGTGTACTCAGCTCCAGGGTCAGGATGTTGCTGGAATATGTAAATCTCTAGGACCAGCTGCCAAGGTCAGCTCAGTGAGACTTCACTAATCCTCATTGTCCTCCCTCTTTCTGTCCTGGTTTCTGGTTTTGCACCACTTTCTTCCACCCCAAATGGATGAAATAAAACTTCAGACAATCTCCAAAACCTCTGATACTCCTTAGCAACTGATGTGCAAGTGGTAGAAAAAGCTCCAGTGTATGTGACAGTTATCATTCTTAGTCCTCATCTACTGAAACGAAAGTTAAGGGAAGAAGTCTCTTTTCAGTACTTCCCCCTTCTGCCTCCTTCTTTCTCTGCCTAATGTTGCTGCTTACCAATGTCTTCTGGCGGAATTAGAGAAGTGTTAGCATCAGAGGTACTTTCAGGCAGCTTCACTTCTGTTCTGTTCTCACCACTGCTGGAGAAGGCAAAGGTCTGGCTAGTAGGAAAACAACTGTGCTGTCATGCCTGCACACTTTAGCCTTTGATCCTCCACTGCAGTTCTACCTTCCTCTCATTGCACCCAGCAGCCACAGCACTTTTCCATCTCTGTCTTGTACTCCTTGCACGTCTGCTTTTAGGCTGTAGCTTTGAAGTGGACCCTGCTTTCAGTGGGTTATGGACTAGGTGTATCCCAGTGGTCTCTTGCAATATAAATTGTTCCCTGATGGTATGACTCTGACTTTGCATGTGTCTGGATAGGTAAGTGCAGTCACTCCAGTCTGCGAACAATTTTGAGGAAAACTGCATGATTTCCCACTGACAATTATTTAAGATTGAAAGCTAATCATACTGGACCCAGTGTGTAGCCTATTGTGTCTTCAGGAACTGTAATGGAGGACACTTGGCAAATTAGATATCTGTGTTTTAACTGGATGCTACTTTCAGGCAACTGTGCCAGATCATGAGGTTGTCTTATTGCACATGTGAGTGGAGGAACGAAGGGCTAGATCAGTTTGCAAGTTAACTTAAAATACACAGCTGGTGCTGTAAACAGATGCACCAAACACAAGTATCTGTTCACCTGTGTGTCAGAACCGAAATATAGTTGCCCAAATATAGGATGTAGGCAACTGACTGGAAATTTGACTTAAAGTGTGTATGCCTTAAAAGGAAAACATCAGCTAATACCTCTGCCATGTTAAAGACAATCTTGAAGACATACATGAAACTCAACTAAAAGTTGCTTAGTTTTGTCCTACTGGTCCAAAGTCTGTAGGTTTTGCAATTAGTAATAAAAGGACCTTGTGGGGTACAGAAGTGGAGGAAGAATCTAAGATCCCAGAAAATAGTTCAATGAATTCTTTTATTTTTTTTTGTCTTTCACTTTTCAAATGTTTCTTTTCTATAAAAATAAGAACTATCATAAAGAAAGTCATTTTGTCAGGGAGTTTATCATCTGCTCTCTCTAACACTGTTTATATTGCAAATGTGTCAAACCTGGGTCATATCATGATGATAAATAATGTCTCACCATTCCCTTCCACTGCCCTTTTCTACCTGTTATCATTGAGTATCTTGTCTCCTACTTCGATTAATTCAGATTAGAAAAACCTTGTGACAGGTGCTGTCTTGTTCCATGTTTATGAGATACTTAGTGTGATTAGATGAACATTTACTGGATCACTGCTTTTCAACCTCATTTGGTGATAAAATGAAGTACAGACCTGCACTTGTGCCATGACATCTGCATTTGGGAATTGTACTCATTCTGAAAATTTTCTTCTGTCAGCCAGGAGGCAGCTGTCCTACTTTAAGTGAGAGAGGAGGAAACAGGAGAGCATCAAGACGTCTAAGGGAGCAGAAATCTCTGTGGTCTGTGGAAAAAGACCCATCTTCTGATGGGTGAAAATACAGTGACTAGTTGCTCTTGTAGTATTTGCAATGAATATCATGAGAACAAGCTGTTCCTGTGACATTCTTGGCTTGGCCATCTGGTGGGAAAAACAGGGGAATGAGAGGGAAGAAAGGGAAATGGCAAGAGGACTCTGAGTGTGCAGGCATGTGCATGTGTGTATACACATCAGGTAGGAGGAGGGAGCGGAAAAATTAAGGGGTATAAAAAGTGGGAGGGAAATGAGCACAGAAAGATACCCTAAAGGGGAAGCAGATCGGATCTCTGTAAATGAGAGAAACAAAGAACAAAACACCTGCCAGGCAAGAATACAGAAGGACAAAAACAGAGGAAGGAAGGAAGGAAGGAAGGAAGGAAGGAAGGAAGGAAGGAAGGAAGGAAGGAAGGAAGGAAGGAAGGAAGGAAGGAAAGATTAAGAAAGAAAACTAGGAATTGTTGTGTTATTCCATCAGTTTTGCCAGAAATTGAATTATGCCCTTTGCCAACCATTTGTGTTATTATGTGAATTCAGTGGTATGTGTATCACTAAACTATCACAAAGAGTCTGCAGTAAAGCATCTCTGTGCTGTATAAAACACTACTCAGGAGCCTCAGAGAGACACAACGTGAATTTAAATTTTCTTATTACACATTTCTATAGGGTTTCTGATTATTTTTTGATTTTCATATGTAGTGCAGCTACTGCTACTTTTATTATAATGACTGACTATAGAGGGTAACTGAGATAGCAGCCAAAGAAAAACACAACCTGTTTTTAGCTATTGCTCTCTCTCTTCCACTTTCTGTCCCATTTCACTACAGGGAAGGTTTTAAAACCCTGTCAGTTGGCCTGACAACTCACTACCTGTCTCTGGATGATGGTATTTCAGAAAACTGCACTGATTCAGCACTGATGTCAGAGCTGCTGGGAAGGCACTGGGTGAGCTGTGGCTTCTCTGAGTCTCTGTTCATGTGTGGAAGAAACAGGTTGCTGAGGGACATTTGGCTTGTATGAAGAAGTCTCCAGTAATGCCATGCTTGGGTATGTCCAGGGGAGAGTATCTCTTCCCCCTGCCACATCTAATAGTGGAGAGGAGAAACTAACATCACCTGGGGTTGAAATAGGGGGGAGGAGAAAATAACATCACCTGGGTCTGGAAATAGAGTCACAGAGAGGATGTAGGAATTGCTGGCAGTATTTGAGCAAGTCTTAGGGAGACTGTGGGGACATGGATAACCCTGAGACTCATCAACATCTTGGAGTAGATGGGATTATTTTTTCTACATGCAGTTTTGCATTCCCCTTTTTATTACCCATTCTATTTCTCATTTTAATCCTTCAATTATTTTCTTTGTCATCTGTGTAATTTTAATTAAATAAATTGGCTTTTAATTTTGACTCAGTGCCTTGGGACAAATCTATCTCTTTCCTGTTGCCATTTCTGTCCATGGCATGCAGCTCTGGCTGACATATGTAGTCTGTCTAAATATCAAAGGTTTTTAAAAAATGTGAGAAAATGAGGAAAATGGCAGGGGAAAAAAAAACAGCATAACATATTCTTGCTGTGATTTACATGGAAAAACCTTTGCAATCTCAAAGCTGATTACAGAGATAAGATCAAATGCTGAACTCAGGCCAGAAGTCCTCATTTCTATCAAAAGTGGACACTGCTCTTTGAGTAAGGCCACCTACGCCTGACAAAGAAATTTTATCTTAAGGGCAGATCACAGCCGTGCGAGTCTTAAAACCTGGGTTGTTACCACAGTTCATCCACTGAATTGTGAGGTGACACATTTCCTGTTTTAGTGGTGGAGCAGATGCTACAAGATGTAATGTGGGTAATACAAAGCTTACCCACATTTCGTGTTGATCTAACAGGTGAAATCTGTTCTATTTGCTGTTATCTTCTTGCATCTTGTTTGTAAAATGGGCAGAAAGACAGTAATTACTTTGACAAAAGCTTTAATGTAAGATCTAGAGTCTTTCTTTCTTCATTCAGGCTAACCCATTGATTAAACAGGTAGTTATGAAGCCCAAGCCAAAAGTCTTAC